CGCTGCTGCTCCTTTTCCTGCTTCTGCTGCTGCGGTTGCTGTTGCTGCTGCTGTTGTTGTTACTGCTGCTGCTGCTGCTGTTACTGGTGCCACCGCTGCCGTTCAGTGTTTTGTCTTCAGGCTTTTCCAGTGTTCAGTATCCATTCCCCGTTCTGCTCCATTAACGTCACTTCTGTTTAAACTCAACAAACACCATCAGAGATTTAAGATCCAGACTCTAAGATCTGCCAGACTTCCTACTGATACTCTGAGGATCTGACTGGAAATAGATTTTTTATGTATTTAATCTCCTTCCAGCTCAGCTAAAAATACCTTCATCCTCATTCTCCTTAGGATCTGTCCTGTGGTCTTGGGTTTGTTGAGTCCGGTTCTGAGTGTAGTCTCCAAACTTTCCAAACCCTGGGACTGTCAGTCGTGCACCGGGACGAAACTTCACATCTTTGCATGAGGCTGAAATTTAATGACTTGACCAAAGCTTTGTTTATCTAGCCGCTAATTCAACCACGGCCGCTGTCAAGAACCTCCTCATCGCGCTGTTTTCATTCCTGCCCTGAGAGTAAAAATAGATTTGAAGGATCTTCAGACTCAGCGCTGATGTGGGAAATTTTTATGCTCCTGTGAAATATTTTAAACACAACTGTAGGTCAGCTATTTTTACCCAGCGTCTGACATGTTCTTCTTTCTGCCTCCTTTGGATTGTTCATGGCATAGCTTAACACTTGTTTCAGGCTAACTTTTAGCACCTTCCCACTCACCCTGTAGTCGTCTTTTGAGCATCTTGGAACTGCGTCCGTGCGTGCCGCCATCTTGGATCCAATTATCTAGACCAGGTTTTGGTCTTACTCTGAACTAGTTCACCGTGGCCACTGTCCACCTCCTCATTTTCGGGACTAACACTTTTTACTGGCTAACTGGCTACTGCTTTGTTATTTTAGCTACAGACCTGTCGACCTTTGGCTTCATTCTAAACTCTTTGTTTATTTCTTTTGGCCGGCTTCTTTGGTCAACTTTTATATTTCATATTTCTCAGTGTTCTGCCTCTCACTACTGACCTCAGTTTTTACTTATTTACAAAGTCTCAGGACCTGAACAGCAACAACGTCACAGTGGTAGAAGAAAAATCATTAAATATGTCACTCACTTCTGCTGAAGCTGAGAAAACTGGTCCAGAAATGAGTCCAGATCTGGTTTTCTTCAGAGACGTCGGGACTGAAGCCCAGCGTGGCCGCTCTGAGTCTCAGTGTTGATTAAACAGCAGCTCAGAAATAACTGATCTGATGATGACATGAGGGGACAAAGTCTGACTACACACACTGTCCCAGTAACCACCCTGTCTCATTCAAGGTCCACGGTGTAAAACCTGGATTCTATGATTATGGTTAAACTCTTTAACCTTAGTTCTTTGGATTAGCATTCAGCTCCCATCACTGTCCCCAAACCAGCTCTCCATAGACCATACTAACCATGAACCCATCGGTCTTTCTGACTGCACACAGCACTACTTTGAAGTCAAGACCAGGAAAGACTGGACTTAGATAGACAGTGAGACAGTGATGTGTTCCTTTGAAATTCTTGGGTAAATCTTCACAGATTTATGACTGACCAAGACTGAGGTCAGATGACCACAACCACCTTCTGGTCTGATTCATGTACTGGATCATGTTCAACATTTATGCCTCGGACCATGGTGACCTTAGAAGATGATTTCCTCTGACCTCTGACCTCTTCACCTCCTCCTTAAACTCTTCAATCAGAGTTCTAGGCTGTAGGTGTGGTATTCCTCGATGACATGTGGGAACTTCACTGCCACCCTGTGGACTTCCTGTCCCTTAGATCATGTCACGCAGCTACACGACCGTAGCCCTGTGAAGCCACAGATGTGGCATGACAAGGACACATTAAAGGTCACTCTCCTTCCTAATCTCGGTTCTTTTTTCACTGGCTTTGGAAAAACCTCTGCAGTTTATTTGTGGACTCACACGCTGGCTTCTAACTGTTTCCAGTCTTTGGAGTCTTTTTCTGTCTCCCTTCTTTCCACTCACTGTTGGGTCTGATCAGCATTTTTTCTGGAGCTTCACCTTCATCACTGCTCTTGTTTTCCATTGCTTTCATTTTTTTATTTCATCAAATTGAAAAATAACTTGAGCTTTAATGAATTGTTTCCTCTCTGGAAACAGTGGCCGTGATGACAAATGGAAGAAGAAACAGAGCTTCCACAACCAGGGACAACAGCGGAGGAAATGAACCAGATTTTTTGTTTTAGGCCATTTCCAGCTTTTATTTAGTTTTTTTTTTTAAATAATGATTTTTGCCAGAGAACCGCTCCAATTTTGTCCATTTCTGCCATTTGATTGGCTGACACGACCTTTTCACTCTTTGACCTTCTGGATGTTAAGATAAGGATATTATTTGTATCATGATATGGTTTGTCCCTGATCTCCTGACAGATCAGAGGAGGACTCAAAGATCTCAAAGATCTGACCCAAAGTCAAAACCTGTCCAGGACTCATGAACCGAGACACTGGAGTCCAAACCAGAACAGAAGGACAACCAGTTTGTGTTTCTTTAAGGACTAAAGTGTTGGGTCATTTTTAGCCATTAAAAGTCCAGAAATAGTTCCTGCTTGGATCCATGTTCCATTGGTGAACAGTACTAAAGAGGCGGCTGAAGGACCGGCAGATTTACGAGACCAGAACTCTAGTCAGACGCTCAGCTGGAGGAACAGGGAAGTGGAAAGTGGCTCGAAGAAGCCACCGACCTGGCACAATAAAAACCGCAGCAGCGCCGTCGTGGCCAGAGAACGGTGGTCTGGAAAAACTCGACGGGAGACTTTGACCACAAGGTCAAACCACACAAACTGCCACCATAGAGGCAAAACCAGGGCAGGCCTCGGTCCACCAGAGTAAAACTCCCTTATTTCTGGTTCTCGTCATTCCGTACCTCTGGATCCAGACACTTCCACATTCACTTCCCTTCTTTGTTTTAAGGCTGGACTCTGGACCACAGGGGGAGGACAGTGACCGTGGGAGACCCCATGTTTAAAATAAAATGAAAAAAAAAAAAAAACAACAACAAAAGACTATTTTTGGCCTTAATGGATTCTGTCAGTGGTTCTAGTGTTGTCTTCTGATCTGGTCTGAGCTGGGCTGAAGGTTCAGGCCAGAGATTCTGGAGTTAGCCTAAACTCTCTTATGGTTAGCTAAGATAAGCTGAAAGCTGTCGTGTGTTGAATGGTTTAAAAAGAGGCCTTGAAAGTGCAGTGCACGTATGAGCCCTGGTACACCTTGGTACACCCTGGTACACCCTGGTACACCCTGGTACACCCTGGTACACCCTGGTACACCCTGGTACGTACACCCTGGTACA